TTCACTTCTAGGCTAAGATCACCATCTCAACCACTCTGGGGCTACCAGAACCTGGGAACAATGAACAGATTATGAAATTTAAAGCAGACATGGGAAAGAATCAATGCTTTACCCATCATAAACTGTTTTAAATATTTAACCAAAAATAAAAGCTGGACACAATTTGTTCCATTTGAAATTAGCAAATAAATATAAGAATTTAACTGTGTTGCACAAACTGTTAAGGTAAATAGTTATAGCTTATGAAGGAGAGTTCTATTTTATATTTTCAATTAATCTAGAAAGAATACATATAGTAGAGCGAAAAATCTTCACACCTGCTTTTTGGTATAATAAATTAAGGCAGAAACCATTAGTGAACACTAAAAACATTAGCAGAAAAAATAATGGAAGGATCAATGTGGCTACCAGAAACTACAATATTTGTTTTTCTTTGGGGGTGGGGGTGGGTTGAATCCAGGGGCACTTAACCACTAAGCTACATCCCCAGCTCTTTTTACTTATTTTTTAAAATTTTGAGACAGGGCCTAACTAGGTTTCTGAGGCTGGCTTTGAACTTGCAATTCTCTTGCCTGCGCCTCCTGAGTAGCTGAGATTACAAGTGTGTACCGCCGCCACACCCAGTACCACAACCAATCTTAATGCATCACTAAAATTGCTAAAAGTGGATAACCAGCTGTTATATGCCACTTACTGAGACAAATATGATGAACCACAAACACTTACCATTTTTGCTAGAATTCTTACCAGAATCTGAATGTAACATAGTTTTTGGAGCTAACTCCTAGTTTACCCACTTCAGCAAACAGAGAAACAAATTAACATGATATTACAAAGAAACAGACCAATTTAAACTATGGAACTTCCAGAACAGTAACTAAGTTATTTCATTAAATCAATGGATCTGAGTTGGAAGCAGAAGACTTAAAAACAGAAAATTTTAATATGGCTAGGTATTTGGTAATATTAAGAAGTCATCTTGTCAATTTTGTTAAGTGTAATGATCATATTATGACTAAAAAAATGAAAAACTTTTTTCTATAGCAGTAATTTGCAACTCTCACTACACAGGAAAACAGTCTTGGGATCTTAAAAATACTAATGTCCTGGACCAATGCCTCCCAGTGATTCTCAGTGTGTGGGGCAGGGCCTAGTGATCTTAATATGCAGCAAAAGTTTGATTAACACTAATTAAGGGCTATTTACTTTAATTTAAAAAGATTTACTTTATCTCTTTACAACTGTCATCAGATTGCCAACAAAAGTTTGCTTTATCTTTAAGACTATATGATAATAATGGCTATTATTTTATTTAAAGTACATAGAAAATGCTGAAGTAAGTATTCTTTTGATGTTTTATATACTTTAATTTTTAAATGTAGACAACATGATCATGAAAAATTACTTCTGGCAATTTTCCTAAAAGTGATCCACCCCCTAATAAATTAACTACACTTTTTAACATGACAAAATGATCATTATAATGATGTCTTAATTTATAATCTCAAGGACTTTTGACCACCTTGTTCTTTGAAATAGAATATGTGAATGACTAATAGTCTGCCAGATTTATGATTATGCACTTAGATGTCAGATTTCTAACTAATTATAAAGCACTGTCTCCATTCTTTGGATAAATTACATTTTCTGAGTTACTGTGATCCTAGCACTAAAGAAAAAATGCAAACTAGGTATAAATAGTAGCTTTAAGAAATAACTGTTTAAAATAAAATTTGTAATACTAATTTGAAAGTAAGGAAATACAGTCAAGAGGCTAGAAACACACATACACACAGTGAATCTGCTTCTGAATATTTAGCAAAAGAGTTATCAATTTATATTTGTGTCTGCAAATGGACAATTTTCTGTTGATATGAAGTATTTAAGGAGATACCAAACAATGAACGTAAATCCTTAATGCACTTTGTAAGAACTACATCATATTCTAACAGGAAGAGTCCAGACAACTCATTCAGGAATTGTAAATATCAAATAAGTATCTAAAATTTGCAAACTTGGGCTGGGGGTGTACCTCAGTAGTAGAGTGCTCACCTAGCATATGTTAGGTGGTTCTGGGTTTGAGCCTCAGCACAAAAAAGAAACGAACTAGTTCATAATACAAATTAAACAGATACTTTCCTATCAAATTAATATCATATGGAAACAGAATAACCATTCATTTTAGCTTAAATTAATACTGTCCTTCTGGGAAGAACTTTCCAAAACCATCAATAGATTTTAACAGTTTCTTTGACTCAATAGTTCTTGTTCTAAAAATCCAATCTAAGGAAATAATTTGGAGGGCAAAAAGTCCTATACAGGTTGTTTTAGTAAAGTACAAAAGTAGACTAATTTACTTTCAAAAGTATGACAATTCAATACCATAATGTATAGATATAAAATTTTTATTGTTAGAAGTTCTAATTAAAATTACAATTTCTAAAAAATAACACAAAACTACAACTACAGTATGACTTCAATTTTCTATAAAAAAGTATTTTCACAGGTAATATCAAAATATGAGTGGTTATATCTTATAAACATCAATACTAAAGAGTCTATGATTTGATTATTTTTTTTTAAAGAGAGAGTGAGAGAGGGAGAGAGAGACAGAGAGAATTTTTTAATATTTATTTTTTAGTTTTCGGCAGACACAACATCTTTGTTTGTATGTGGTGCTGAGGATCGAACCAGGGCCACACGCATGCCAAGCAAGCGCGCTACTGCTTGAGCCACATCCCCAGCCCTCTATGATTTGATTTTTAAAGTACAATCACTTACTTTCAAAGCAATTTGAGAATGCTTACAATAAAAACTCCTGTTATAAAAAGATACAAAACCATTAAAATAGGCAAAACATGAAGGTATTTAGGAAAGGTGAATTCACCATGTTTTCACCACCAAATGTTTTCCTTTTTCTTATCATACAGAAATGCCAAAACAAATTATGCTATAAAAAAATTCAATATAAGACTGGAAGACACTAGACAAATTTATTAAGAACTAAGCAACGGGGCTCAGTGGCAGAGCACATGTGTACAATATTCAATGCCTTGCATTCCAAAATAAAAAAAGGAAAAAACAAAACAATAATAACAGCAACAACAAAAAAAGAACTAAGCAACTTAGCTCAATGGTACAGTATCTGCGTGATATGCTTAAGGCCCTGGGTTTGATCCAAGGCACTGTGTGCAAAACAAAAAACCTGAGACATTTACATGCATTTAATGCAAAAATGTAATACACTAAAAAAATGAATATGAGCATGAAGTATGAAGTAAGATAGAAGGTAAATTGTGCTAGGGTTTTGTTATCTTCTATAAAAAATATTTATTATTTCTTTAAAAATTTCACCCAACTCTCAAGATCACAGGGATGGGGGTGGGGTTGATGAATTCCCTAGGAGAACAATCAGGTAACTTCTAAATACAACTTACTCAGAAACCAAACACATCCAGCATAACCAAATGGGCGAACACATAGATTCTTAAGAGTCCAAGGAAATGATTACTATGGTTCATGCTTGATGCTAGATGGGAGTTTCTTGGTATTTTATCCTTAAATTATTTCTTTAATGAGTTGCACATGAATTTTTAAAATTTTCAGAAACCACAAAATCAGTGCTAACATCTCCTTTATTTGACTATTGTAAGGATTCTTATATAGCTGCCAAGTGCCTGGCAGAATGCCTAAGATCTAGAAACTACTCAGTAAGTAAATGTTGATTGATTCTATTTTCTTCTATAAGTTAATATAAATTATATCAGTAGAATTTAATAACAGATAGTAAGAATTAAAAGCAAGAGTCATGTATCATTCACTGTCGTCTCAGTCTTGACCTTGTCTTTAAAAACTGTATACTCCAAAATAGTCATGTTATTAACTTGCAAGCCAAACTGAAGGCTTCAATTCAACTAGGCCCATATAGCAAGAGAGATTCTGTATGGAAAGAGTGTTAGCAACCTAAAGTTTCTATTACAGCCATGATAAATACTGTGGCCTATGCCAGACACATCAGAAAACTGCAAGGGTCATTTTTGTTTGAAGTCATCAGAATCACCTTCAAATATCAACTGCTCATTTGCACATTCTAGTTTCTCATTTCACATACGTAACATTTATGCATACATACTTACAAATGAACAGCATTATTATTACAGCTCCATAGCAAATAAATATTTCCAAAAATCACTTCATTATAAGATTCTTTAAAATTACTTTGTAAAATGGACATAAACTAAACTCAAGAGTCAGTATGTCAACCAAAAACCTTGGACTGCATATGGAGGAAAAGAAAAGTGATTTAAAGTAATGTTACAAATACCAAAACAATCAATTTTCCAAACAGCTAAAATTCCATCTGAGCTGTAAACCACTATGATCATCTTACTTACAAAAATAGCATTTTCCCTTATTTTTTTCTTCGACCCCATCAACTATCAGTTGCATATATCCATACTGTAGTAGATGGCTTAAATCCATGGTAGACAAGATAAAATGTAAATAAGAGAAAATGCAAATAGCAAAACATATTTTTTCAAAAATCATCATTTTAAAAATATGCTTCAAAAAACCTATACACCTACTCTAGTTACATGCTTTGTTTATTAACACATCACTGTTTCTATGCAGCACTAAAGTAAAACAGTAAGATGTTTCCCTAAAGAATAGGAACAAGGGTCTTAGGCCTAGACTTAGATACAGAAAGTATGACATCAAATTTGAAGCATAAACATATTATTAAAACTCTATGATATTTTTTAATAAAACTTTTCTACTTTTGTTTTGGGAGAACAAACTAACACTATATTAAACAAATGAAGAATACTTTTTCTAACAGCATTCATATGCCTTCTCATGTAAGAAAAACAATAGGTCATAAAACCTGACATAATTTGTTAAAAGTCCAAAATGAGTGATTCATTATACTTACTGGAATTTAAGAGGCACTGTCCCATTTAACAAATGGGAGAAAGTGGAAGAGACAATAAAAATCATACCTAAAAGAGATGTTTCCTTGGCAAATGCTGCAGCAATAGCTGGGTCCAAGGCAGGCTGCCCATCTCCAGATGGAAGATCAGGTCGAGTATAATCCCTACTTTTATCATTGTTGTATTTTACATTCAAATTCACAAGTTTGGAAAAATCAATCCTTAGGGTACAGCAAGCATTATAAATATTCTGACCATCTAGGGCCTGTAAAAGTGAATAAAATACATCAGTGATCTTTAATAACATTTGCAAATTAGCAAAACAGGAAAAAGATGCAAATTTCAAACATCATACTGTGCTGTTCTCACTGTAAATGTATTAATTTCCACCAAGCACTATTTTCTTTAAATAGAATATTTTCACTAGAATACACATGTCCTGTAACAGAAAGAGTAAACCTCTACAGCTGCTTAAGTACATAAATCTTTAATTCATTCACATATTCTCATTCTCTCAAAAAACAAATCTTCCCTTAATACACAAGATTGAGTTCTATATGATTGTATTTGCCAAGTTAAAAACCTAAAAACTAATTCAACAGAAATTCATCCATTATAAACCAATGGTGAAAATTCATCTTAAAGGGACTTTATACACGTTAGCATTTAAACTCCATTTGGGTTAAGGCACCTACCATCTCATAAAAGTAGAAGCCAAGTGTCAATTTTACCAGTCATTATAATATAAATTAATCCAATACCCTGCTGTAAAGGCAAACACTGAAAATTTACTCATGTAGTATTCATATAAAGAAAATATCAATCAAATAAATTCTAGAATGTATATTTCCATACAATATGTAAAAAATAAAATAAATGAATAACGAATTACTCTCAGGTTACTAGTTCAATAATATCAAAGTGAAAATGAGATCTTGTAAGATTTAGCTTTGAGTCATCTAGATTAATGTTAAAAGTAAAGTACTGACAAAAATTTACTGAATTCAAACAAAGTCTTTTGAGAGCTATTTCCAAGCAACATGGAATTATACTACCAAATTGTCAACAATAATTTCGCCAAGTGTTAGAAAGTCTTCTAGAAACTTTTGACATTTTCCTTTTAAACTTTTAGAAAAATCTTTATGTAGGTGGAAATTACACAATCATACCTAAGGTATAAGAGTTGGGGAAAAACACAAACAAGAACTAAATTAAAACTGTCTGCAACAGAGAAAAATAAGGATGCCTGTACACAGCAATCCAGGAATTTTCAGTAGCTAGCTGAAGTAATCATAAACAAAGTAGAAAGAAAAATCAAGTTAAAAAAAATATACAATCTCACTTCAAGCTCATGTATTCACAATATCCAGGAAAGAATAGCACACAAGTAAGTCCTGTGGTTTAGCGACAGGAAATTCAGTGATCTTGCTGTAGCAAAGATTTTTGATAATAAAAGCAAGATACTCTGCAATAAGATCTTTCAAATGTACCAACTCACAATGACAGCTTTGACAATAAAAAGAAACTATCAGGAACAAAATTTCATAGTGAATTTAAAATTTGATTAAAACATGGTCATCAAAATGCAAGAAAGATGTTAAGACACAGAATGCATTTGAAACAGCACAATGAAACACTGCATGTAGATTAAAAATATGAAAAGTCCCAATAACGTTTCCATTTTGTTTCAATGTTCACTATTTATTTGCCTAACTTATTTTTATGAGAATGATTCTTGGGGGAATTTAACAAATGCTCAGGGAAACCTTAAGCTCCAAATTGTTTAACTATCTTACTAACCAGTTTTTAGCAAGTCAGGAAAAAAAATCAAAGTCAAGAATATAATATTAGGCTTAGAACACTGATAAAATACTTAAGACCTTTTATTTACCAACATAAAATTCTAACAGATTATGCAGGAGTTCCCTAAATATTCTAAAACCATGGGTTTCATAATAAACCCTTCATTAATATGAATTTGGAATACACAAATAGTAAATGCTAAAAGGGTGAAATAGAATTAAACAGATGTCAAAGAGAATGTCTTAAAAAGTAGGAAAAGATAATTCCATTAGGTCTCTCAAAAAAATTTAAATGAATGATATGCTTTTACAAGCATTTCACTCTATTTTTAACTATTAGTAACCGAGGATGTGTTCTCCAAAAGGAATAAATAGTTTAAAAGAATCCAGAAGTATGCTAAAATGAACAAATGGATTACCTCTTTCAGTTAGGAATACTATTAGAGATATTCCTAACTGAAAGAGGTAATGCTCATGAAAAGCTGATTCTCATAACAAAAACAGAAACAAAAAAGTCATTTCCTACTCATGTGTACTACAATTTAGCCACATAAAAAACTTTATAAAGTCCAAGAGAAAAGGAAACTATATCATGTCTCACTATTTAAAAAAACTGGGCTATTTTTATGTATTAATTTTATTCCTCAAAAACATAAAAGCTAGCCAGGCATAGTGGTGCACACCTTTAATCCCAGTGGCTTGGGAAGCTGAAGCAGGACAATGGCAAGTTCAAAGTCAACCTCAGCAATTTAGTGAGGTGCTAAGCAACTCAGTGAGACCCTGTCTCTAAATAAATATAAAATAGGGCTGGGAGTGTGGCTCTGTGGTCAAATGTCCCTGAGTTCAATCCCCAGTACCAAAAAACAAACAAACAAACCATGAAAGTCAAAGAAGCTGTATGTGGTGGTGCACACATTATTCCAGCAATTCAGGTGGCTGAAGCAGGAGGATCACAGTTGGAGGTACTCAGGATCTTACCAAGACCTTGTCTAAAAATAAAAATTAAAAATTTTTAAAAAGGACTGAGGGTATAGCTCAGTGGTAGCGCCCCTGGGTTCAATCCCCAGTATCACAAAAAATAAAGCCAAGGGAAAGCCTATGTGTTCATATTTCATACTACAAAACATCAACAAGACTTTTCTAAAAGATAATACATAAACGTGAAGATCAGTTACATTTTTATTGATTTAGATATTTATTTATAAAATATAAACATAATTTTATATTTAATATATACCCACATGATAAAATATAATAAAATATGTATTAATTTAATCAATGGAGTGATCAACTAGAGAAGACATGTCAATTTTTAATGAGGTCTATGTGCTATAACTTCCATCAGAATGCACACGGAAGTGGATCCTCTGGCTGGTCCTGGTCCTGTTAGTGTGGAAAAGGGCTGAGCCTGCAGATCATTCTGCACCCACCAACTCATCTCTACCTCAGACTTGGGTCTGACACTCTTCCTGGGTCTTCTAATCTGTGCAATTAACTTTGAGAAATGTATATATCTGTAACCCATGCTACTCTATATGTGTAGTATATTATCATCTTCATACAAAGACCCTAATATCCCTTCCCAGCCAGTGAACCACCTGCAAATGATGACAGATCTGATAGTTTTCATCATAAACAGAACCAAAAGTACTCCTTTGTATCCAGTATCTTTTACTCAGCCAAATAATGTTGCTAAATGTCTCAGTTCCACATCATTTTATAATGCCAAATAGTACTCTATTGTATGAATATAGCATATTTTAAGAAACTCTGCCCCATTTTCCTTTTAAGTATTTTGAAGATGTTTCCTTGACTTTTAATTCCTTTCTTTCTGAATGTCCTATTATCATTCATAGATAATTGTTCTCCTGTATGTGATTTGTTCTTCTGATCAAAAACATTCTATTTGTCTTGATTTGTTTTTTCAGCAAGTTGACTAAAATGTAACCTAATATGATTTGCTGTTTTACCTTTATTGGGTTCACTGACCTTAGATCAGTAAGTGTACGGTTTGCCACTTTTTTTTTTTGGTACCAGGCATTGAACCCAGGGGCCTGGTACCAAAACCACATCCCCGACCATTTTTATATCTTATTTAGACACAGGGTCTTGGTGAGTTGCTCAGGGCCTCACTAAATTGCTGGGAGGCTGGCTTTGAACTTGATCAAGATCCTTCTACCTCAGCTTCCAGAGCCTCTGGGATTACAGGTGTGCGCAAGATCAGTTTCTTTTTGATAACTGGATTGTTAGTATGGCTTTTGATTACCAACTTAAAGGTCAATGTTCAATAAATTTAACAGATACGAAGCTGACATGGTATCCACCTTAATATATAATCTGACAGAAAATACACAGACATTTAACAAATAATTATAAAAATCTAATCCAGGTGATAAAGAAGAACTTTCTGAGACAAGGTTTCTAACCTGATACTTGAAAGAGGAAGATGAGCAGAAGTTAAGCATAAGGAGATAAAAAAGCACTATTAGCAAATGAAATAGCAACTTGTAAACCTAAAGGATCTGAAAAAACAGCATATGCAAGCTACTTAAAGTTAAATAGAGCCAAAGAGATGGGAGATAAGACAGGAGAAGCAAGTTAAGGAATGATTTATAATCTCATAAGTTATGTTAATTACTTTAGACTTTATCCTAAAGGACAAAAGTCAATCACTAAAAGGCACTGAGAATAGAAGAAATAAAATTTTGAGACTATTCTCAGTACTCTGTGGAAAAATAATGGGTGTAGGGGAAGATGTCAAAGTGGTGAGTTTAGTCAGAAGACCAATAAGCAGAGATTTCTGAGAGGATGGCTAAGACCAGGGCTACTCAAAAAAAAGTCCATGAACCAGCAGCCCAAGCCACTCTGCATGAAGATAAGAAACTGTGTTATAATTTACATCAACATCAATAGTTGGCATACTGTAGCTAGAAGTATGTTGGTTTGTACTTAGGCAAAGCCCCTAAAAGCCTCAGATTATCAGTTCTCTGAAAAATACCTGTTTAGGTAACAGGAGAGCTGGAGACAACTGATCAGATTCAAACAGAAATTTAGGAGCTAGAATCAATATTTGGTGCTAGACTGGAAGAAAGAAGAATAATTCTGTTTTCTGGATTGCTGAAGAGACTCTAGTTGGTACCTTATGCTGTGACATAGGGAATGCCAGAAGCAGAAGCTGAATATACTCATTTGAAAGGGTCCAATGGTCTACTGCATTCTTGGTCTGGAGTCACTGAGAAAAGGTCTGAGCTAGAGAAAATGATATGGTATGCATAACCAAGAATGAGCTTGGAGAATAGATAAGGCTTCCAAGTCAGAAGGATGTAACAAGAAATACCCAAAGAGGATAAATCTAGGTGAGAAGTATTGAGAGACCAGTAGAGAAAATGTTAAAGACAGTGGTCTACTGTGTCAAATGTTACCCTCATTTAATACCGAATAATACTATAGGGATTTAGGTACTTTTAATGATCACTGGTGATACTCAGAAGACTAATTTGGGTAAACAGGGCTGAAATAAAATTACACTAGAAAAATAAAGAGGATATTAAAGTTGTAGACAGCAAAGACAGCTTATTTAAGAAGTCTGGTTATAAATCAAAAGGGAGAGGAGAAGCAGGGTGATAGTCGGAAAGATATCTAGAATTATAGAGGGAGAGTTACCTGAAGTTGAGGTAAATTTAAAATAGAAGAGGTTTGAACCTACTGGATAAAAGTAGCCAATATAGAGAAAATAAAAGGGAAAGAAGAGATGAAAGTGCCAAGTGTCTTAGGAGGCAGTAGATTATGGGATCTGTTTTTTACTGATCTTAGGTAAAGAAATATCTATACCTTTTATTCAAAGAGAAAGATTGGTGCACATACAGATTAAAAAAAAAATTAATCAATGGAGTTTCCAACAGATGATTTTCTACAAATAAGTAAGAGTGAGTAAAGACACAGTGAAAGGGGAAATTTCTATCTGATATGGTCACTGTGAAAGACAACATTCTCCTTGAAGGAAAGAGATTTTTCAAGCAAGAATAGAAGGTCTCTTTGTAGATGATGCTCATGAGTTTAACTGATAACAATTATCAGATAATATGATATTCAATGTTCTTTGAGTACAGCCTTGATGCAGCTATGAAGAATGTGCAGAACTGAAGTCATTAAATATTTTACCAAGAGGTCTAGATCATATAACAATGGGGCAAGGAAGCTTAGAAAATAAAGACGTTTTCCCTTCTTGAGTAAGTGCCATGAAATTAAGTTCAATTACCAGAATATAGAATACGTACTTAATAACATACTCACCTCCTCTCTTAGAATTAATTATAATTTTAGATCTTTGTAGAGAAGATATAAGTGAATGAAGATAAACATACATAAACACCTATGGTTTAATGCTTCTTATCAGCACACCAAAGACTGGTTAAATGAAAATCTCAAATACATAATTGAGGCACTCTTTTATCATGAAATTAAATGTAACTACAGATTACTTCAGACAAGATGCACACATATTTTTCCTGTAAGAATTACAGCCCAATGCACTAAAACTTCTAATCAAATCCTATTTCACTGTTTCTTTTTTTTTTTGAATTTTATTTTTTTATTGTTAGTTATTCAAAACATTACAAAGCTCTTGACATATCATATTTCATACATTTGATTCAAGTGGATTATGAACTCCCATTTTTACCCCGTATACAGATTGCAGAATCACATCGGTTACACATCCACGTTTTTACATACTGTCATACTAGTGTCTGTTGTATTCTGCTGCCCTTCCTATCCCCTTCTTCACTGTTTCTTTACCAAATACTTTTCCTCTAAGATCAGAAGAGAATGGCAAATAAAATATTCCACATCAAAAAAATGTATACCATTTTAAAATATGATTAAAGGTGCAAAAAATGCTGTTAAAACCATGGCTTCTACATTGTCTCTTAATAAAAACAACTCTGATTTTGGTAACTCGATGTATACAAAATATTATATTTTTATATACAATATACAATGTTGGGGGCGGGGTCAGTGCATGTCAAGAACCATTATTTTGGGGGAAAAAAGAATGTTAACCTATGCCTTAAATGGAAAGCATAGTAAGATGAGTTCACATAACCTGGGAACCACTGAGCGAGTAGCAACATATTGAATAAAAAGATTATCTGAAAAATGTCTACCTTACAGATTGTGTGTATTATAAGCAATTCACCTTTTTTACATCTTAGCATCATGCTGTAACAAAGGAAGGGGAAAAAAACCTATTCTCTTTAAAACACAGATTAATGGTGAGAAAAAAATGGGATAAGAGTACTTGGTAAACTATTATAATTATGCTATTATTAGTAGTAGTACAGACTTTCTGCTACCTAAAGCAACTTCCCAAATGAGACTGAGGATGAAAATACAATGAAGCAAAAGTCAAAAATGGTCTGAGTTCCAAATAAATAACCTTGATCAAGAGAAGCACTGTAATACTAGAAACCATAATTAGTTTAAAAATAAGGGAAAGAAAGAAAATGAGCTAAGACAAAGGTATATAAAGATTTAATGGTTTCATAATGTATTTTTAATGGTTTAATTAATGGAATAATAATAATGAGAAAATATGGCACAGGAAGTTAAACAGACAATAAAATAGAATTAAGTAAGATACACAAAAAAGAAGATTTAGCCATTTGGAAGCAAAATATACTAGCATGGTAGTTTTCAATGGCAGGTAACATGCAGAAATTTACTTCTATTAGTAAATCTCTTCCCCTCCATATCTAACAATGCCAAAAAAAAAAAAAAAAAAGATATGAATTAAAGACCAGAATCTATTTAAGAAATGTTTTTATTAAAAAAGGAAATGATTAAAAGAATATTAAGATATAATCTTAAATCAAAACTTATCACAGCATTTGAACTACATTTACATTATATATTTAATCCAAACTATCTCAAAATTACTTTGAAACTCCCATTGGAAACTACAAAAAATCTTGATAAAGGTGTGCATGCACAATACACTCCTATCTTCTCAATAGCACAAAACTTTGCACTTAAAAATGTAATAAAAAAAATTTTTTAAAAAGTGTAAAATAATTCAAGTCTATATAACTACAGTCATGATTACCCTTAAAATATACATTTTTATAATTATTAAGGTATCCTAAATTATGTTAATATTTTTACTACCTATAATGCAATATGCATTATTAAGTTACATAAGGATCAATATATTATGTTATATATGCATAGGTATATATCACAAATATCGATTTATAACACTATAATAGGTACATTATATATATATATATATAAAGCATATACATATTTTATGTATATGTAAATAATAAATATATATAGGGGTACATTATATATATAATATATACATATTTTATATATATATATATAAATAAATGAAAAAATACCACTAACTCAAAAGAAGCTCTAGACTTACTAGTTTTGCTTGTTGAGCATTTACTGGATCACCATACTGGAGCAAAGCTTGAAACTGGTTGTTTTTTGTAAATGTGATTATCTTCAATACAGCACCAAACTTCGAAAATATCTGTTAAAACAGTAAAAGCAAAACATTTCTTCTCTACTGTATTACTATTTCTTCTCTTTGTAGATAAGTATGTAAATTAAACTTACTTGGTGAAGAACATCAAGTGTTACAGGGTAGTACATATTGTCAATAATTATTCTAAGTACTGGACTCTGGGCTGGAGTCACTGCGCTCTCACTAACTGTGGTGCCACTAAGAGGAGTGTTTGCTGTCTGGACAGCTGTCACAGCCTGAAGCACTGCTTGTGCACGCTGAAAATGTAAAAACAAAGTAGTTTTAAAAAGACACCTATCATTTTCACTCATACTTTGTTACATGTTATACTACGGTCTGTCTGTAATTCACATATTCTACTGGTATTATTTAAAAAATGTTACTTAAGTTTTGGCACCAACATTGGACAAACAATCAAAAATAGGCAATATAACAGGATGTGATCTGATATATATATATATATAAAAAATGGGATAAGAGTACTTGGTAAACTATATATATATATATATATAACAGAAATAAAACTTTAACATTATTCATTCCATAAAATAGGTACACAGCAAATCTCAACAAGAAAACTACTGGATTATTCAAAAAAAATTGTCCTAACTGATAGAATATTATAAGACTCTGAGCTTTAAGTGTGAAAGATTAACATAAAAGTGAAAAAATATAGTAGTTTTAGGAAATCTGTCAAACAAATGTTCAATGCACTAAAAAAACTGTATATTATCACTAATATACCTTTTTCTATTACTCTGACAGATTTCTGATAAGAAAATAATTTCTTCCTACCTTATCCAATGTTAGAAAACATACACCAAAGTAAATAATTATTACACATAACAATGACAAATCTCTTTACATTAATTTATGGTTTGAAAAATCTACATTTGCAGATAAACCAGAATATAAACATGCTAGAGTGATAGATGAAATGGAAGGAGAACACAAAAGAATTAGGACACCAATAAGAATAAATAAGAATGTTCACTAATAAAAATAAGTAAGAATCCCTGAAATACTACCAGGGATCATGTTGCTTGAGACTTAAGAAGTACAAAATCTCATCTAGACAAGCCTCATCATTTAAATTAAATAATGAACTGTGAACTTATATATATTAGCTCAAGTAACTCAATTAAAACTTGTTATTTTGTGACATGGTGAATATTTATAATAGACACCCTAATGCTACTATGGAAAATATATTTTAAAAGGTTTCTAGAGTACGTAATTTTTCTAATTATTTTAAGTAGTTCACTGCAATATTATTTTCCTCTTTAGTGATCATGTTAACATATATTTATCTACAAAAATGAGCACAAAATATCACAACTTAGAAAAGCACTAACATATACTGTTACAAATAATGAAATGCTTTTTAAAAAATAGGAATCAAATGCTCATAATATACAATTGAACTAAAATAAAAGGTGACGTTTCTCTTGTGACTCACAAGTCTGTTTTCCCTTATCATCCCAATACCAAAATGATCTTGGGTATTACTCCAGAGATGGCTATCTACATATATAGACACATATGCATGCAACTATTTCATACTTTTTTCCCTAATATTATTCATTGTTCTCCATCTTCCTTTTTTAGCCTAACAACTGTGTTCTCTTCTATCAGTAACAAATGAATTATTAGATGTTTATTTTTCTATTCATGCAATTAAGATGGCTAATCTAGATTTAAATGAATTTATCAAAACACTACATATACACAGAAACTAGGTGTGATGGCACATGCCTATAATCCCAGCAACACAGAAGGCTGAGCAAGAGGTTTCCAAGTTTGAGACTTGCCTTAGCAACTTAGAGACTCTGTCTTGAAATTAAAAATTAAAAGGGCTGAGGATATAGCTCAGTGGGAAAGTACCCCTTGCTCCAGTTCCCAGTAGTGGAGGGGGGAAAAAATCATATACAGAGATAAGGACACCAATCCTACGAATGGTGCTCAATAAAATATCACAAACTGCACATCTCTGTAAAATAATTACCCCTATTTTTAAAAAGGGACATTATTAATGCTCTAGAAGTCCAACTCATGCCTGGTAACAGTTATATAAATGGAATAATACCATATATATTCTGTTTTCATCTGGTCTCTTTCAATAAACATTATTTTATGATAAACACCTATGTTTTGCAGGTACCAATAGCTTATCATTCTTATTGCCACACAGTATTCCAAAGAATAAATACACCAAAATTTATTCTATTGTTGCTGGATACTTGGATCACTTCCACCTTTGGGGTATTATATATAGTTATATGAACTTTCTTGAATGAATCTTTTGTTTCACATATATAATATGTTCTCTCAAATACATAACTAGGATTAGATTTACTAAGTCAAAGACATGCCTATGTCCAACTTTAGTGGGTACTCCAGGTTTTCTATCAATTTATACTCCCACCTCTTGTATATTAGCTTCTCTACATTAACACCAAACACTTGATAATACATATTTAAAAAATTTTAGCCAATCTGGTATGTTTATGGTAGTAACTTACTGTGATTTTAATCTGCATTAAAAGCCCTCAAACCCAATCCACTATTTATGGATCAGGGACAGCTTTCTAAAAAAAGAAACAGCTAGATTTAGGCCATGTAAAGTATGGAGTGAAAAATTGGTGCAAAGGCAAGCAGAGCACGATATTCCATGTATAGTTGACAGCACAGTGGTAGTAAAAGACTAAAATGAAGAGAAACCATGTCATGTTAGAGGACCTATCATTACTTTCAAGACAGAAGTATAGGAAAACAGATGGCCACAAGACAAAAAATATATATAGTAGTCACCTTGGAATAGATCTTTATTCATGAAAAGGACCTGCTGCAGGGGAATAACTTAGTTTGGCTTGTGTGCTTTAGAAAGATATGGACTTGGTTGTACTAGAAAAAAAAATTCAAGGAGGAAAAGAAAGTAGATTGGTAAAGAAACTGTTGTAATATAGCCAAGAGACAATAGTGTCTGAGCAATATATGTAGCAGGACAGATGGCAAAAACTACCATATTTTACGGCCCAATTGTTGCCACTATAACCTTTCATTGCATACTCGTTTCATGGTATAACTCTGTTGGTCACTCTGATTAAAACGTAAATAGAGCAGCAACGTATTCACCAGTGGCATATGGATGTGCATTTGTCTTCTTGCGCACTGTGAGCCACAAGCCCAAAATTCTCAATGCACACACGTTGTCAGTATATTCTGAAAGCTGACTTGTGTGGTTTGTTTACAATGCTGCACTACTAACAGTAAATAAATTTTATATAAGTGGCATTGAGAACAGCATATCAGATAATGAAACCAATCAGCAGTGCAGAATCTTCAAACACAAGAGATTAAATTTCGTTAAGTACATACTTTGCAATACAGTAGTAAATTTTATCAAGTGTAATATTTAGACTGTAATGCACAAATCAGTAATAACTGTGTGTTAACTTTCTTTTTCCCACATTGGAAAAATGTTTGCTGAACTATCACAAAGAAATGATGTGCACCAGTTTGGACATATATTCATGAATACTGCGTACACCCTATCTTGCAAAGCCAGTTTAGTAATAAATAATTCTGAAGTAATACTGGCACAATTTTAAAAAGGCTTCACCTAATCCTCACACCCCTCTCTTATGCGAAAATAATTTGGCATAAAATCGGCAATGATTATGCAGTGAAATACAGTAGGTAGAAAATTAATAATTAATTGATAGGATTTGGTAATTAATGAAGGATTGTAGGAGAATTTATGGTTAAAACATATTTCATTTTGTCTCTCTTCTACCAGGAAGCTCTAATTCCTATAAGTGTATAGCAAATGAAACAAATGCAATCACTAAAGGCAAAGAAGGTCATCATTAGCTGAAAATTAAATTCCCCAGAAAAGGAAAAAGGAATGGAACCAAAAGGAACAGAAGACATAGTAAAAACATAGCAATGAAGGGATGACAATTATAGAAATCAGATTAAAACCAGACAGGTTTGCAGGAGAAGGGAAGAGAATGAATACAAAAGGATTAATGGAACATCTAGCCAATATACAAACAACTAAACTCCTCTTTCCTCCTTTGACAGCCCCTACAACCTAAAAACAAAAATAATAACACACCCTCCCTTAAAGTCATCAGAAGTTCTAAAGGAAGTTTTGTTGGCTCAGATTAAATGCCTCTTTAGCACTAATGGTGGTGGGGATGGGGGAACCAGCTTAGTATTCAACTCCTCATTACTTTACCCTATGGGGAAAGCATGAAAGTACAACAAAATCTAATTATGCATTCTGAAATATGAACAAACAAAAGGTTTAGAAGGAGAGTTAGAACAAAATAAACAGCTAACACTGAACAAGAAAGACAATTCAGTGTATACTAAGGTTTTTAAAAAATATTGTAATTGAAATTCTCAAAGAATTAAGTCCTAAGATGTGACAACTACAATATAAAAAAGATTGAAGGACATTTAAAATTAAAACTATGACTTCAAAACAGTTTTTTTTTTTTTTTTTTTCCCACTCCCCTGAACAGAAGGAACTTTGCATTCTTTGTTCAGTCTAAAATAACTCTGACTGGAATAAGTGGCTTACTCCTTAACCACTTTGTAATTCAGTATTCCAATGTTCCTTCTCAATGGGCTTTCAGTGGTCATCCTATTTTAAATTACAATTTCCTCTCTCCCACATACATCCTTCTACAGACTCTTTATTTTTATTCTTTGTTCATTGCTTTCTTTCGATTTTTTATTTTTTTTTTTAAAGCAAGAATGTGGTGCTGGTGGTATAACTAAGGGGTAGATAGATAGCTTGGATAGCATGTGCAAGGTCCTAAATATGATACCCAGCACAGCAAAAGTAAAATAAAATAAAAATGTGTTCACAAATTACTTTAATAAAAATACTAATAAATAAATTAGGATAATTAATTCCATTTTCAGAGTATATTAAATGAAATAAAACAGACACAGAGACACAAATACCACATGATCTTACTTAAATGTAGACTCTGAAAAAACAATTCACAAATGTAGAGCCAACAGTGCTACCAAGACAGCAATGGTATGGGAGGGTGTGGGGAGGTTCGTCTAAGGATACAAAGTCTCAGAAGGAACAGGTTCTGGTGATCTACTGTACAGCTTGAAAACTACAGTTAATAACAACATATTTTATGTTTCAGAATAGCTAAAAGAATGAATTTTAAATGTTTTCAGCCCAAAAAAATGGAAAATATTTGAGATGGTAGATAAGTTAGTCTGATTTGATCATCCTAAAATGTATACATGTATTGAATCTCACATTATACTCCATAAACACTACATAATTATTATTTATCAATTTAAAATAAATAGTAAAAACAAATGTAAAAACTAAGTTAAAAAATAAAGAACAGATATTCTTTTTGGTATATTTCGTGGTATTTTAGAAGTTCACTTCATCAGAAGGAATTAAGAGTTTATTTTGAAAATTAAACCAACAAAAACAGCTGAAATATTAGCCCTTTTAGGCAAAAACATTACAAGCTTATTTTTTGAAAACTATCAAGGGGATCTCAGGTCACTTTTTATAAAGTGATGAAAATTTATCAGGAATTATTTCCTGTTAAATTTTCAATAAAATAAGATATAGTTTATATTACTATATTTATATTACTCAACACAAAGGTTTAATTGGATGAAAAATATTAAAAAAGAAAGTTTTTACAGCAATCCTACATATTTAGCTCTAAACACATTTGTATGCTATTTTTGAACATAATTTTAAATAACATTTTCTGTACCATATTTTTATAAAATCAATAATACATTCATATATTTTTGCTTCTTAGGTTTTATATTCTAGGAAAATTATTAACACATCTTCAAACGAATTTTTTCTATAAGAAATGAAGGTCTACTATAAAGAATCAAATTACCAAAGGCACTGAACATCCAACTTAAAATCTAAGCAGCAGTACATATGCTAATAGTAAGTTCTATATCATAAACAGAATATTTGTATCTACACAAAATTTTAACTTGCAACAAGAAAAAAAAAAAAACTTCTAACCAGGGCATTAGAGGAATTTAAATAAGAATATGATATTTAATACTTAGGAATATTATGCATAAAAACACCTTAAAAATAATAAGAAAATGCCTACAGAAATATCTTCTGAATGGCTAAACATTTTACCTTCTTTTACTTATGAGATTTTTAATACATTTGAAGCCATTTTATTTATGTACCCACACATACTCACTTGGTTTAATGTATTATCTGTCTTTAGTTCTTTGTGATTGGAGTACTGGATATAAATTGGTTGGTTACGAAGATGAGGTGTCACAGCAGAATAGTAATTAACCATAGTAATAGCTGCTTCCTCTGTTGCCAGTTCCAAAAATGCCTGATAATTTAAATAGCAAAAAATTAAAAAAATATATATATAAAATACTATGAATTAAACTCAAATAAATAATAAATTATAATTCAAATATCTATGCAATCTAAAATATAACCTTGATGTTAATTTACATGCGCTAAGAAGAAAAATTACAAGTGTCTTACTGAAGTTTCGGTATACAATTAAAGCTAACCTAAGAAAGCATTTGCATACACTCTGCTGCTGCATTCTACTTTCCATAGCTCACAAATCTATTTCTATCAACTAAAAACTAAAGAAAATATAAACATTTCCCAGCATCAGAATTCTAATGCTCCTAACCTAGAAAATATAAGAGGTCTCAAAGTCATTAAATATTGAAGGTTAGATTAACATCAGCTATAGACAGGAGAATATTAATTTTATAAATTCATCTAAATAGTATTATTAGAAATTTTAAGACAAGATTTCCTATTTATTATACCTGACCCCTAATGCTGTTACACATGCTAAATGAAGAATATCCAGATTTAATGACTAATTTCAGCTAAATGCTACCAGATAAATATTTTCATTGGATAAACTTAAGGTTAAAATGCTACCAGCATCCCTACTGATTTCTGAAATCACAAAGAAAAAAATACAATACAATAAAAGAAATACTTCATTTGTATTTGCCACAACGTCATTCTGACTCTTCCTCAAAACCAAAGTGATAAAATGAGTTCAAAAGATAAAATCTGAAAACTGCTGTGACTCATTCATTTTTTCTATCTAGCAGTAGTTTCCCATATGCAACTACCAGGAAAAGTTAGAGGAATACATTTAAAATATTTTTTTTTTTCAGAAAACTAATCCTTTTACTAAGTGGCAGTTAATCAAAATTATAACAATATAATGAAATAAAAATTTGAACTGTAGGGCCACTGTTAAGTAAACTAGTTTGCTGAATAGTTTGTGGTTTTACATTTCATAAACCTTGAAAGAAATATACCTGGTTTTTTCCTTTCAGCATAAGGATGTTGGTTACCTTACCAAAAGGTAAGCCTAAAGCAATAACTTCAGTTTCTGTCACTTCACCAGGTAATTTTCGAATATGAAGTACACGAGAAGGAGCACCATCCATTTTATCTTCTCCTTTAAATTTCTTACTATCATTACCATTGGCTGAAAGAAATTAAAAACACAGTCTTTACACTTAAGCGATTTCCTAAAATTTCAAAAATTGGGCTTTCAATAAAATGGAGAAAACCATATCCATCAATTATTATTAAATAAAATTACGTTAGCCATTAAGTTATGATTGCTATTAAGTAATATTTCTGATATACATAGTAATAAAGTGATTAGCCAAAATATAAAAATACAATTTCATAAAGAAACCATACAATAACTAAAAAACAATTACTGCAATTTAGCCATCCTTTTGCAGACCAACACAAATATATCAGGTCCCCCTTACCTGAATACATTCCCAGATTCCCAGTGTATGTCTGAAATCATGGATAATACCAAATTCTACATATATCATGGTTTTTTTTCCTATGCATACTAACCTATGATGAAATTTCATTTATAAATTAGACATGATAAGAGATAAAAGAGAACAATTGTAACAAACTGAAATGAAAGTTTGAACTTTAGGGCCAAATAAATTGTTACTACAACACAAACACTGGGTACCTAGACAATCTTATGTCCAAGATGGCTACTAAGTGTCAGGGGATTAGCTCATACAATGTAGATACACTGAACAAAGGGATGATTCACATTTTGGGGGAGTAGGACAAGAGATTTCACCACAGAACTCAGAATAGTACAACACTAATAACCTATGAATTTTTTATTTCTGGAATTTTCTATTCAATATTTTCAGCTGAGGCTGAAGCTGGTAAATAAAGCTATAGAAAGCAAAACTCTGCATGGGGTACGGATAAATGTGAAAAAAAAAATGGAAAAAATTGGGTTAATAAAAATCAGGAAGTTCATAATTTTACCTGAGAAATTATACATTGTTAAACTTAGAAAATGTCCTACTAAACAACCGGATGAAAGGAGAGAATAAAATAAAAATGATTATGTAATCAATCCATACCATGAGACTCTCCTATTTGTTATTTGTTATTATCACCATACAATCTATGTATTTAAATATTTTGTGACTATTAATATCAACATACTGTAAATTACTCATGAACTCAAATATCAACATACTATAAATCACTCATGAACTCAGTAACTAAACTTTAAAGTAAACTAATATTTCAATCAATAAATTATTTCCTTGCCTTCATTCTAAAGCTCACAAAAAGTAAAAATCTCTAATTAAGATGCCTATAAAATAGGCTAGGTTTTATGCAGAATCATCTGAAAAGATGTGCACTTTACCCACTAAACCAGATCAATCATTAATCATCTTCTAGGTACTCAAGAATAATTGACATTTGAGACTCTAACCAAAATTAGGACACAACCCCCTAGCATTTTTTTGTTGTTGTTTGTTTTCGGCATTGAACCCAGGATCAATGCCACATCCCTAGCCCTTTTTATTTTTTGAGAAACTGTCTCCATTCGGAAACATACATGCATACTCTATTTTGTATCAAATTTTATGTATTTCATCAAACTCCCGCCAAACTTGCAATACCATCTAAAACAATATAATGTACATTCAGAAGTTATCAATAAAATTCTGAGATTACCTTGATCTGTCCTCAAAATTCATTTACATACTGATTCTTCAAACATTTGCCAAGTATAAAAATGTGTTTAGAACTGCTTTAAGCTATGGAAATACAGCTGTATAAAAGATGAATACAATTCCTATAGAAGGAGAGGTAGACTAACTAGTACATAAACCAAGTAATTTCTTGTGTAATAATAAATGCTATAAATCAACTAAAACAGAGTGATATGATTAAAAGTGATTTATCTGAGGACTGGTAGAGGATGGTAGTAATGACTTTATTGTATAACCACAGAAAGTATCTCTATGAGATAAGATGTGAACTCATTATAATATCAAGCTATACTTAAAGCCATCATTTTACTAAGAGTTTCACCTAGGCATATATACTTGAATGGCTGGCCAATGTATTTAATAATTACCCTATGCTTCCTTTGTACAGGAAAAGTAGTGAGCTCAGGCTTCTGAATATATTATTCTGAAAATCTTGGCTTGCTAGCTCTTCTACACTCCAAAAATATGAACAACTAAAGGAAGCTATTCACACCTCCTTTCATTACTCAGGAAGATTTGTGCACACACAGGCTCCCCAACTTTCTATTTTATATCATTTTATCTAACAAATTATCATTAGGTCTGTGTAAGTTAAAGCAGGGAATTGGACACAGGTATCTTAAAACATATAATTAGCACATACACATATTCCTCTGATGTAGGACTAAGGCCTTTTCCTGATAAAACAGTCTCAAGAATAGGAAATCTGTAGTTTATTCTTCTTCACTAGTTTGAATAGCAAGGGCAAAAATTTCATAAGCTGAACCCCAAGAGTTATGGTTTCAAGATACTCAAACCAGCAAATTTAAGTTTCGCTTACTTTGTGTGTCCTTTTCCTTCTGAGAGTATGTCAAGGGGAGAAAACTAACAATAAAGATTCTACCTATCGTTATTCCTATAAGGAAAAAAGGCTTTTTCTTTCAAATGATTTTCAGAATATAATCCCCACAATACAAAAGCCTGCCTAAATCTACTAAGAGAATAATTTATTGCTTTGGATTTGTGTTGCACATTTTCTGGACAGTGGCAGCAGATGAAGGTAGAATACTACTGACAAAGAATAAGATAAAAATCTTGGTTTCTTGGAAAAAATATAGAAAGATGCGATTGTCCTTTACATCAATAATAACATTCAAAAAGTTAACAGGTTGTGCAATTTAAAACTCTTAAGATTGCTGTTATTATGACCCATCAATTCTATTTATAGGTAAAAGCTAGTTAAATGCTCAATTACTAAAATGGGTACTAAGTGGTAAAGACAGATGTAGTAGAAAAAGTATTAAAAACCAGAGTATGGGTTCTATGGCCTATGTTCTAACTACTATGCTACAAGACAATCCCAAAGACAAATTTCACATTACAAATGATGACCTAAAAAGATCTTTCCCTTTTTTCCCAAAGACCAAGCCAGCTATTAGGTAGTCATCAAAATTTACTCTCTCTTCCCACTATCTGATATTCTCAGTTAACAGTATCAAGAGAGTAGCCACCTAGTATTCATATGTTGGTGCTATGAAAGTCTTTAAGTAACTTATACTGTAACAATGGGAAATGAGAATTCTTAATAAAAAGGCAAAAGAAAATGCAGGGCCTCAGCTTATGAAACATCTACATCTACCCTATGAGAGAGAAAGAATTAGGTCTGTCTGGACTTCAGATCTATGATTCCTTAGAAACAGAGAATAATTTAGACTTCTACGCATGATCCTTTCTCTTCCATTCTGGTAAACCCAGAATAGTTTGGAAAGTAAAATTTTATATTCAATTAACAAAGAATATAGCAATGCTTTTACTCATGCACATAAGTTGGAGATACAAAGCAATAACATTTTCCATATACTACTCAGTTATTTTAAAGACTCAAGCTTAAGGAGGATATTTATGGACTTCAAATCCTCAAATGAACATCTTTGCCTTTGTCAGTCCATCACTCGTTTCTGGACTGACCTTTATTTTCCACTGGCTTTTACCTTCAGTTTCACATCAACTGGTACTGCCAAGAATTTAAATCACCACACCCATCAGTGACCAAGAAACTGTTAAACTCTCTCTCTCTCTTCCTTCCTTACTGAGTCTCTCTTCTCATAGCACCTCTTAATAATTTCTACTTCTCATTTTCTTACTTCCCTAACTCATTTCATATCTGCTTAGAACTTCTTGCTGAATATCCCAAAGACTGTTGCGGTTTTCAAAACTATTAGTCCCAAGGTCTTCCTATTTTTACCTACTTATTATAAATACTTTAGCACTTAATCTTCAAAAATTATCTTCTCATTTAATTTGTATATTTATTATTTTAGCCTCACTCACCAACATGCTTTCAATTGCACAAAAATATGAAATAAAACACTTCAAAACTTTACTTCATCTGTACTTTTTTCTAGAAAAGGTATTTCAAAACATATTTCCTACATATACACTTCTTAGGTTACAACAAATAAATTTTGATGATTTTCATTTTCATCCAATCAAAAATAAACCCTTTTATATCTTCTTTGATCCATGGATTGCTTGAAATTATGTAATTTCTAAATATTTGGTACTTTTATTAACTTTTTCATTTCTAATTTAATTCCACGATAATCAGTAACTATATAAGCTTTTTCAATAATTTGAACTTTATTGTTACCTTATGATCCAATATATGTTATATTGTGGTGAATATACTTGAAAAATTATTTTGCAGTTACTGTGTATAGTTTTATAAATGTGAGTTAAGTAAAGCATTGTTCAAATTCTCTCTACTGTGTCTTTTTATTTAGGCAAGGCATATCTAATTGTTATCAACTACTATGAAGAATGCTCAAGCATCTAAGATTGTGGATTTCTTAGTTTCTCTTTCTAGTTTTTGAAGTTCTGTTATTACTAGCATACAAGTTCGGGAATGTTAGGATTTTTGATAAACTGAAACTTTAAGCAGTATGAAATGTTATTTTTATACTTAGTGATGCTCCCTGATCTGAATTTCATTGTCTCACGTCAATAAAAGCACAACTTTCTTGTGTTATTTGCAAGGAATATAACTTTCCTTATTATTAGCCTATGTCCTTGCATTTCAACCTGTCTCTAGACAGCATAGTTATGTCTTGTTTTTTAGTCCAGTCTGACAATCTCTGCTTTTTAATTAGACTGCTTATACTAGTATTATCCAAGAAGTGTAATGCAACACACAAAAGTAATTTTTAAGACTTCAGTTTTTAAGGCAATTTTAAGATTCACAGCAAAATCAAAAAGGCAAAACCTTTAACAACCTCAATTTTCTTACCAGTGTGGTACATTTGTTACCAGTGATAGGCCTACACTGACACATCATAATCACACAAAGCCCACAGTGGAGTTTAGAGTTCACTCTCGGGGCCATACGTTCTTTTCTTTCTTTCTTTTTTATAAATATTTTTTAGTTGTTGATGGACCTTTATTTTATTCA